TTAAGTGTTATGTATGTAAAAATTCTTTAAATATTTTGTGTTATGAACATTGTAAATCATTTTTTTTAGTTTCATCAGATGAATTTTCTGGTTCTATGCATCATCTAATATAAAATAAAATGATATTTGCCTAATACCATTTTGTGTGCCATTTTTTCTCAAGCATTTATATTCAGTAATTGTAATTATTACTTTAATAAAAAATCCTAAGAAAATCTTTAAATAAATAATCCTAAGTTATTTTTAGGGTTTTAAAAACAAATCAGTTAATTAAAAAAACAAAAAAACAAACATTTTTATAAAAAATCAAAGCAGAAATAGACCCCAAACAAACCCTAACACAACAAGAAAGAAAAAAAGCTCTGACAAAACTTAAAAACTTTCACATGAGAACAATTTAACAAATAACATTAACGTATGTAATCACATTTAAGGCCGATGTATGTCATTGATAATAATTCTGACATTATTTGTCAGTGTAGACCAACGAGGCATATCATTGTTGTATGCATTTTTAAGTATTTTCTTGTAATAATATGTTATCAAGATTAGGGATGCAAATGAGTCAAGCAGACTTGCGGTCCTACTCGAGCTCAACTCGATAACAAGCTCACGAGCTGAGCTTATTGAGTTTTGAGCTCGAGTTCGATTGAGTTGCGTGTCAACTGGTTGATTTGTCGAGCGAGTTGAATAGGTGGAAGGTGGAATAGAGGAAGACGGAACTGTGGAAGGCAGAACCAGAAGCGAAAAACCCAAATATCCATTTACTTTTGGTCGAACCAAATCAAATATGATTCTCTTTCGTTGTTGCGTGTGAAGTGCGAGCTAGGGCTTCTGTTGTGGTTCGTGGAACATGATCAAGGAGGAGCAAGGAAGTTGTACAACATATTTAATTTGGTGCTGCCTTTTGGCCTCACATGCGCTGGTCTTTTCTACTTCTTGCATATTCTTCGGCTCACTCAATCCTATCGCCGCCATGTCCATCTTCAGCCTCGTCCTCCACCAGTCTATCACCGAGTAGAAGCATGCTCTTCAATCTAGAATCAGAAAAGAACTTCAGTCACTTCCTATTGTTCTCACACCTCACGAGTCTCCATCTATTGCCACGAGTCGAACTCGAGCATACCCTTTGAGCTCGAGTTAAGGTCAAGCTCCAATTCAAGCTCCAATTCAAGCTCTCAATTTGGCCTATGAGACAAACTCAAGTTAAATATGACTCAAACTCGACTTGACTCTACTTATTTTCACTCCTTATTAAGACTGCATGTGGTCATGAGAATATATTACAAACTTTGTAGGAGTGTTTATAACTAGATATAGAGGGTCGTAAGTAAAGACAGATTTACAAAGATAGGTTGCCATTCAATCGAAATTAACTTATTTCAGATGAGATATCATGAGCTGATGATATAATGTAATGATGTGAATTGTGATATATAATTTGAACGTTATGATGTATCAAGTGAGGAATATCGCATAGGTGGAAATCACACTACACTTTGTATGATCGATTAATGAGTGGACAACTTCAATGCGGCTAGAAGATAATTTTTTATCCTCTACAAATTGGAATTATATAAAATAAAAAATTGATTTTTTTATATGATACGTCATCAAAAAATTATATTGATCGGGACCATCCGAACAATGCAAAATCAAGTTGGAAATTTTCAAAATTAAAATTGGGACCATCCGAACTTTGATTTTAGCAAACTTACAGCCAAACTAAGCGTCTCGGAAATATGAACCCAAGGACACCAAATTCGACTCAATCTGAGCCCAAATGAGTCAAAATCAAGTACCCAAAGCATTGTTGGAAGGTTCAAACCACAATTTGGGTAACCAAACGGTTTACAAACACAATGTGCTTATAGTCGAATCGAGCGGCTCGACGAGACAAATCCAACGAGCCTAGAATCGCTGAATTCCGACATCATTAAGGCCTTCAAATGTCTAATAAACGGTGTATGATCAATGGATTCAATATCGGCCGTCCATCCAACCACTCCACATTTACCCCTGATCTCTCACCTATTTATGGGTCATGTCACTCCATAAAATCTATAAATAGACCTCTTATTTCTCTTGAGAAGAGAGGGAAACAAGAAGAGAAGAAAGAAGAAGAGAAGGAAGAGAAGGAAGAAGCTCCTCCTCGACCACCGCCGGACTTCCGCAGGACCACCACTTGAGGCCCTCACCTCCGCCGAACCACCGCCTGATGTCGTTGCTTCGGCGTACCACCATTTAAGGCCCTCACCTCCGCTGGACCACCGCCTGACGCCGTTGCTCCATCGTACCTCCACTTAAGGCCCTCACGTCCGCTGGACCACCGCCTGACGTCGTTGCTCCGTCGTACCGCCAATTGAGGCCCTCACCTCCGCTGAACCAACGCCTGACACTGTTGCTCCACCAGACCACCACTTAAGGCCCTCACCTCCGTCGGACCACTACCTGACGTCTTTGCTTCGCCGGACCACCACTTAAGGCCCTCACCTCCACCGGACCACCGCCTGACTCTATTGCTCTGTCGGACCACCACTCTAGGCCCTCACCTCCACCGGACCATAGCCTAATGTCGTTGCTCCGTCAGACCATCACCTGAGGCCCGGACTTCCTCCGGACCACCACTTAAGGCCCTGTGCTCCACCAGGCCACCACCTGAGGCCCGGACTTCCACCGGACCACCACCTGAGTCCCGGACTCCGCTGGACCACCACCTGAGGCTCGAACTTCCATCGGACCACCACCTGACGCCCGGACTTCCACCGAACCACTACTTGAGGCCCTATGCTTCACCAGGCCACCACCTAAGGCTCGGACTTCCACCGAACTGTCACTTGAGGCCATGTGCTCCACCAGAACACCACCTAAGGCTCGGACTTCCGCCGAACCGTCATTTGAGGCCCGGAGCTCCATTAGGCCACAACCTGACTCTCGGACTTCTTCCGGGCCACCACTTGATGCCGAGAGTTCTCCTGAAGTACAGCCCTCCTACTACGGTCTCTCATACCCTGACCTCCTGCCAACTACGGTCTTTCGGGCTCATGTCTCTTGCCGACTACGATCCTTATGACCTCCATCACCTACTACGGTTGTTCCGACCTCCATCACCAGACAATGGTCTTTCTGACCCCGGTCTCCTGCTTTCTACGATCTTTTTCGACCTCTATCTTATCAACTATGATCCTGTTGACCAAACAAACATATCCATGTTGATATTGTAACTCCCACCATGTAATGCGCTCTATACAATGTATATTTGTACCATCGAGCCAAAGCCTTCTCCCAAGGAAGGGCCTCATTTGTAATCGACTATAAATACTAGTGGATTCATTTAAACTGGGTCAGACCCTGTGATTTTTCTCCCTTTTCAGGGGTTTCCACAGAAAAACTTTGGTGTCTCTTATGAACGCTACACCCTCTCTTTTTATCTGTGTGTGTGCTGGATCTTTGTGCAATGCTAAGACGTTAAACTATACATTTCTCTACCGCCGCGAATATTCCAGGACACAACAATATATTATGCTATCAGACAAAAAATCCTATATATCATTATAAAATAACAAATACAATGTAATGATATGACTATGTAAATGTTGTTTTTGCAGTGAAAACATAAAACAATATATGGTTTTTGTTTTAGTAATGTTGGGTTGGATATTATTTGTGGTAATATAGGCTTTATTTGGGATAGCTTTCTTACTGCTTCTTAAATTAATTTTTTATAAAAAAATTTAATATTTGTATTAAAAAATTGCTTTAAGAAACAGTAAAAAAATCTTTTTAAATGAAGCCGTAATTTAAGTGTTAGAGAAACAAAATCAAGCCCAACTCCTTGTCTTCATATATTGATATTAAACTTATATATTATTGAATAAAAAAATATTCTTTGATATTTCAAAGACCCAAAATTTCTAATAGCAAGTGCTTAGAAAATTTATGCCTTGCCTTGAAGCTTGAGCTAAAATAATTAAATTTACCTAATCTATTTGGGTTTATTTGGCCTGGATTAGGTATTAGCTATGTAACTATTTTAAAATCATATGTGTATTAATCCCCTTAAAAGAATAAATTATCGAAATCATAACACCCATAATGCATTCAGCTTTCGCCCCAACTAACACTTTCAATTTTCAAATCAAGTGTTATGCATATGTGCACGAACACAAGTATTAGCCACCAACAACGCATAATTTCACCGAGACAGCAGAAGAACGCTATTAATCTCGCGTGACGTTATCTAACTGCTTCTGTTTACTGTGTATGTTCGTCGTTCTACAGCCGGAATAAGCCACTACGGAGCCGTCAATTTCCTAGGATTTTAATATCAGTTTGCTTTTCCCTCCACCATATAGAGTTTTCTAAGCGCTTAGTGCTCTAATTGCGGACGGCTTTACCACCTTTAGAGAAAGTTGTCATATTTTTTATTTTTATTTTATTAACTAAACTAAAAAGCAAAAATAGGAGGAATTATCATATATAAATTTTTATTATTTATATATATATAATCCAAAATATTAAAATAAACTAAATAATGCACATCTATCATTAAAGCATTATCTCCCTAATTGGGTGACTAGAGGTGAATCAGGACACGCCACGTCATCATTATCTATGTATCGGTGCTGTGTACTGCTATGTATAGTGGTGACGTGGTATATTCTGATTCGTCTTTGAATCTTCCGATAAACACACATAATAATTTCTTTCTTATTGGATTGCTGGTCTGAATATAAATACTTGAACAAATAATAATGTTACTCAAAATTTCAAAAATAAAATAAAACTTTCATTTTTTTTCTAAATATTTATTATCTTTTAATTTAGTTATATCGTTCATAAAAATAAAACTTTATTAGTTAATTTAAGTATAGAAGTTGGTTGGTGGTATTTTTCAAAATTTTATTAAAATTTATTTTCTATGTATTTTTATAAATAAAGAAAATGATTCATTTTATTTTCCGTCCTGAGATTTTCCGTAATTAGGCACATGCCCGTCTGTACAAACCTTAAAGCGGTTTGCAAAGGCTTTAAGCCTTGAACGATTTCTCGTCGTTTACCTACCAACCCTCTCCTTCCACCATTACTCGCCTGTCACTTTCCTCCATTTGCGATTCTTGGATCCAATCACTCCGGCGGTGTCGACACCATGGCCGCCCAGCTCCGCTTCTCCCCGCTCCACTACTCCGCCGCATCCTTTGCCGGAAACCGCCGTCCCTTTGCCGGAAACCTTCTCAAGACATCGATCGTTCTCCCGACGACCTCTCCTCTATCCTCCTCTGCCTCTCTCTCGTTCCTTCTCAGATCATCAAATCCCAAGCTCTCCCAGGCTTTCACCGCTGGTGGCGGTGGCATCGGAGGGTCCGGACACCGAGGATCTGGTGGCGGAGGAGACGAGAACGATGGACACTCCGGTGACAACCGGGAGCGATCTGATCTGGTGGGTCCGATCGGGCTTTTTGTCAATGGATGGAGAGCTAGGGTTTTGGCTGACCCTCAGTTTCCCTTCAAGGTTCTTATGGAGGAAGTCGTTGGCGTCACCGCTTGCGTCCTTGGCGACATGGCCTCACGCACTAACTTCGGCCTCAACGAGCTTGATTTCGTTTTCTGCACGCTTGTTGTCGGCTCCATCGTTAACTTCGTCCTCATGTACCTTCTTGCCCCTACCACCGCTGTCTCATCTGCCGCCGCCGCCTCTCTTCCGAGCTACATGTTCGAGCCAGGGCCTTTCTCGCTCCTTGACCGGATTGGAACATTTGCTTATAAGGGCGCTACGTTTGCGGCAGTTGGCTTTGCCGCCGGACTTGCTGGTACGGCGATCTCTAATGGGCTGATTTCACTGAGGAAGAAAATGGATCCGGAGTTCGAGACGCCTAACAAGGCCCCACCGACGGTTCTTAACGCGATCACTTGGGCGCTGCATATGGGATTGAGTAGCAACATTAGGTACCAAACACTGAACGGTGTGGAGTTTGTGATGGAGAAAGCGCTGCCACCGGTGGGTTTCAAGGCGTCGGTGGTGGCGCTCCGTTGCTTGAACAATGTAGTGGGTGGCATGTCTTTTGTAATGTTAGCCAGACTAACAGGGTCGCAGAAGGTAGGAGCTGAGGAAGCCAAGGAGAACTTGATTACTGATGGATCGACGGTCGTAGAGTCTGGAGAAGAGGAGTTGCAGAGGAGCGACTCTCATTGCAAGTAAGTGTTAAGTTGTTTTGTTTGGCTGAATCTAATGTAAATGAAGAAAACTGATGTGATATTTTGTTTTCTCGCTGGGAAGTGGGGGAAAAAGGAAAGAGGATTGAATGTGTTCTTTTGGAAGTATTTTATGTTTTCTTTATTTGCACTTGTAATAATGAGCAGGTTTTGGCTCCCATTTTTCTTCTCTGCTTTGCTTTGACTCGGTGAATCTACTCCTTTATGAACCTATATTGATATAAATATTAATGTTATGTTGGTAAGAATAATTTTATACAGTATTCTCCTTCTGGTTATTTATGCTTTAGGTTTTGTTTATGTAAATCTGAATGCTGTAGAAGCAGCTTGCTTTTGTAGCTCTGTTTAAAGCTCTGTTCATTGTTCTGAAAAGCTTGCTTGTTATATAGGTTATAAGAGGTTTGGGCAGATTTTTTTCTATTAGGTAAATTTGCCTGCTGTAGATTTGATGGAAGATGATGTTTTTAGGGAAGATGAAGATTGCCATATTTTAAATTTAATTATTTTTTGTGTAATTTCTAGCAGGGGATTCTAAAGGTTTAGTTTTTCCTGATCTATGGTTCTGATTCTCTCGAGTTGTTTTCTAAGAGAACAACTAGATGAAATTTGAAGAATACCTTTGGTTTTGGCCAGTTTTTGAAGATGCAATTTGAAGCTTGATGGCATTGTTTTGTTTTGTTTATTGCATGTTCTTTTATTTCCTATGCAATTTTCTAGTTTGATTTGGTTTTAAGAGAGATTTTACTTTAACTTCCAACAAATCATTACAAAATTTAGCAACTTTAAGCTTATTGTTCATTTTGCATGAGTCAGACATAAAATCTATTATTGCTGCTGTGTCTATCATGTTGTCCCTTATAAGCTAAGGCTTCATTTGAGACGGTTTTTTTACTGCATAAAATTTTATTGCACTTAAAAGCTGCTTTAAGAAGCCGTAAGAAAGTCATTTCAAATGAAGCCTAAAGCTTGACTGGTTGAAATGTGCTGTAGTTTAATGGCACTAATTGATCATTTATCCATGAATCTTGTAAACTAGAGCTTCCCTAATCCCTTTAGGGTATATGTTGAATCGTATTGATAATTATGGCATCAGCTGGCAAGCTTACAGGTTTGTAATTTTTCTTCTATATGTTTTTTTGCTAGTTGCTAATGATTATTTGCCTGGTTTGCTTTTCAAAAACGCTTTCTAGCAATGAAGGCTTCACAAAGATAAATTCAGGGAACCTGCATGTTTAATTTCAATTCATAGCAAATGCCCGACAATCACATAAACCAATTAAATTGACAAAATCTTTCAATTGCATTACTCTTTTGATGGCCAGCAGAGATTTAGGCTTCATTTGGGACAGTTTTTTTATTGTTCTGTAAAATCTTTTTTTTGTTTAAAAAATTTTATACTAGAAAATTATTTTAGAAAGCAGCAAGAAAATTATCCTAAATGAAGCTTTTCAATGCTTCTATGAATTATTTGAATTGGTAGCTTCTCTGACAATAGGCCATATTTTGAAAAAAAATTTGTGTCACGATATTCTAATACAAATTATGATTATGTCATTATCTATTTTAAAATTGTTGAAAGATTTATAAAATACAAATTTTTCATATGTAGCAGTAATTTTTGAAATATATCCGATAAATTTCTAAGTCCATTTTAATATAATTATATAAAGATTATATTAGGATATTCTAATACAATTATGTTACATTAACTATATCCTAATGTCTTTCTTTAAATTATTAGATCAAGCATAATAACAATTACATGGCAGGGGAGAGGATTAAATTGAAATATAGCAGAGTATAAGATAATTGGGGTAGTCAAACCAGCAAAACTGATACAATTCTCTTTCGGTTGCCTTCTATAGTTCTATTCCCTCTCCATCTTATTGCTTTGTCAGAGCCGAAGCTTCTGTCTCCTCTGATTGTAGGAGAACGGGAGAATAGTTTGGATTCTGTAAGAGTGCATAATAAATATATAAAAAAATATGTAGTTTTATTTTTTAATGTGTAACCTAACAGAATCAGGATAGTTCTCCAATCCGGACTCTGCACTTAATAATTTCTCTTGATTTAAGAGGACTAGGCACGGCCTGTGCTCCCCGTGTGACTTGAGAGAAGCTTTTTGATTGGGTCTTCTTCCAAGTGAGTGGCATCATTCTTTTGCGTATAATAAACTAGTCTAGAAATTTCGCTCAATCAATACAAATTTTTAGATAATTTTTAAATGGAAAACTTTCAAAATGTAATTCATGATCATTTGAACTCCGATTTTAACAAATTTAGAGTTAAATTGAACTTTTTTATGAGATGAATTCATCAACACCATAAATGATCTAATTTCGGTTCAAATGAATCTGAACTAAGTGCTTAAAGCCTATTTAAAAACTTTTAAACTTCAATTTAAAAGACAAAATGATCTTCAAATCTTATGTGTTTATAATCAAATCAGGTAGCTTGATGGGATGAATACAATGAGCTAAAGATGATTTGATTATGACATCATTAAGATACTCAAATACTGGATAAGTAATCTGTAGTGGAGAGATTCAGCATGATCCATCAACAATATTTCTTATTACTAGAACCATCGGTTTTTCTTCCGTTTGAGTTGTATTCGTAAAAAATTATGGTCTTCTATAACTTATATTTTTTGCTTGTTAAAGATTTAAACGGAATTAAGATATAAATCATGTAACCCACTGTTGCAAATTTTCGAGCACAAAATTTAAACTTCGTTAAAAAAGATTTGAATCATCTAACTCCAAATCAATAGATAAACTTCGTTAAAAAAGTAAAACAAAAAGTTTAATTTGACTACAACATCTTTAAAAATGAGGGCGAAATCTCTGGGTAGTGTCTTATCTACAAACCCATCTGCCTTCCAAAATTTACCTCGGAACTTAGTTCGTTAAAACTCCCTCGCCGAATAAGAAAAGCGAGCGGAGGCCGGGGACGAATTTTCGGAGCCCACAATTGTTTGGTATTGCTCGGTATTTGCTTGGTATTTCTCGTTTTTTAGCGCGATTTTAGCTCTCGGAGGACGTAGCTCTATGTCAGGTGGGAGGACCTAATAATTTCCAATTTGAGGCTGACTAAACAACTATAGCATTCCATGAAATTCAGGCTTAGTTTGGGACGGCATTTTTAGGCTTCTTTTAATTACCCAATGCTTATTGTAAATGATAATTTTGGAAATTTTTTTTGAGAGAATAGATGTTTCTAATGGAAAAACAAATACTAAAAAGTTTTTTGAAAAAAAATATAAAAATGAAGTTATGTAAAAACAAATTTTATAAAAGTTTAGGGTACAAATAATAACCCAAAAATAATTTTGTCGTTTCGAAAAAAAAAAAAGTAAAATTAAGCCGTCTCAAACGAGACCTTAGTATTTTTTAAAGGAGTTAAGTACAAAATTTTTCCGTCCAAAGCCCGAAGTTTGAAAAGAATTTGTAGTTGCCAAATCATATTTTTAACAAATGCATCATAAATCGTATCACATAAATGAAATTAACTTATGAACCCGTACTACATAACAACAAGTTCCTATGGAATGCTTAAGAGATGATTAATGTTAGATTTGTAGTAATCCAGTAATGCAAAGGTCACATTGGGAAGAAATGAAAATAATGATAAGTAGATACTAAGCTTGAGTCCGAGACTCAAGAAAAATTTGAAAAGTGATTTGCATTAGCATTATTGTTGATGGTAGATGATGATATTGTAGATTGGTGGGCCATAGTTTGGGACATGGAAGCCAAATGTCATGGCCAGTTTGGCAATGATAGTTCAAAGGCCATAGTTGGGCGGCATTGGTCAGAATAATCATAGTTGGGTGATAATAGTCGGAGGTCCGTAGTTCAGCGAAGGTGACCAAGGATCATAACTAGGCAATGGTGGTCCAAGGACTGTAATATGATAATGATGGCTAAGGTATTAGGCATCTTATGCTAGCCTCATATGTAATTTCATATATTTACTTCTCTACCCTGTTAAGTCTATATAAACTGTCACTGTAACCTTATTATGTAATATACTCATTTCTAATACTTTTCTATTACAGAAGTTTCTCTGTGTCTCTCTCTCCTTCTCTCTTTCTCTCATGGTATCTTGAGCCAAAAATGGGGGATCAAGATTCTGCTACTTCTCTCCCCCCCACCTCCACCATTGTCGGCACCTCCACCGAGCTTCCTATACCGGCCTCATTAAAATTTCTCATCTCCAACATAAAGAATTTGATTCCTCATCCCCTCACCATTGACAACTATGCGATATGGCGCATACAGATCACTCAACATTTCACCGCCAATGGTTATGCCGGACATCTCACCGGTAACTCCCCTCCACCCTCTACCGAAAATACTAAAGATCATCTCCTGTGGGTTCTTATTGACAGCAACCTCATCTCCGCCTTGTTTTCCACCATCTCACCATCCATTCTTCCCTATGTCATCAATTCCTCACCATCCATTCTTCCCTATCTCATCAATTCCTCCACCGCCCATGAGGTTTGGATAGTTCTTGAACGTCGATTACAGCCAACAAGTCGTTCTCGAGTAATACAACTCAAGAACGAACTTCATCACATCCAACTGAAAGATCTAAGTATGCAACAATACCTTTCTCAAGTCAAGAATATCGTCGACAACATTGCCGCCTCCGGCTCACACGTCGACCCGGAGGACGTCATCCTCTACATTCTAAACGGGCTGCCTTCGTCTTACAACTCGTTCAAGACCACTGTCCGTACGGCATCCATTCCGGCAGATCTCGACAACCTGTACTCCCTCCTCTGTAGTGAGGAGATCCATGTCCAGCAAGAACTGCTCAAAGATTCCGCTCAAAGCTCTTCGGCAACGGCTCTCCAAGCAACTGCACCGAACACTACTCGCTGGCGTCCTCAAAAGCGCTCGGTCAAGAACCTCACCAACGACAAACGCTATGTCGGTACAACACAAACATCACAAGCCCTGCTCGCGCCTTCCACGAATAGGCCTACTTGTCAAATCTGTGGGAAGATCGGGCATATCACAATTAACTGATGGCATCGCTGTAATCCTAAATACTCTCCGACGGTACCTAACGGACAACGTGCCATGCTGGCCCAACCAACGACCTACCCGACTCAAGATTGGATCGTCGACTCCGGAGCTTCGTCTCATCTCACTCCGGACTCCTCGAACATCTTGTTCCCCCTCTCTTACCAGGGAAACGACACTGTCTCCATCGTAAACGGAACATCACTACCAATTCACAACTCCAG